TTGTAATTCATCAAAGACAGCTACAATGAAGTATGCAATGGTCTCTACAAAACTGAGTAAACCACAGGATTACATAAAAAAAAATTGAGATGGTAAACTGATGCTGTACAACAATCTTAAAGCCATGGGGTTGTGTTAATGACTTAAACACAAATTTAATGTTAGCCTTTATTTGCTGAGCATTCAGCACATGGTTGCACTAGCTACAGTATGTTTGGGATTTAAACTTTGATTACTAACTCTTTGATTAAAGAGTTAGTAATTTGCACAAATGTTTTTTAAGCTGTTCAGACTTGAGTTAGTAAATTGGTTTGTTTGTTCTTATCCAGCAGTGCTCCAAAAGCTCAGATCCCACAGAATAATTTCAACTAGTTATCAGAATCAATAGGAACTTTTGTACGAGTAAATGAATATGTATTAAACAATATGCAATAAAGCAACCAAAAAATAGTAGAAACAGACAATAGGCACGGAAACAAAACAAACAACAACACATTATTAAGCAGCATACCTTGAAAAGTCCTTTAAACAGCTTTGTTTAGATGCTGGTAATACACTATGTTGTTATAGGTCTCAAAGGAATCCCATTTCCTGTTACTAATTAAACAGCTGTTTCTGTATTTTGTTGAACTGTGTCTTCCAGTAAGGAATGACGATAAAGTGGAGGAAGCCCTTGACCTTTCTATTTGTTCATAGCTGCAGGTCACTTGTAAGCAGAGTAAGCAAAGAACTTCATAAAAAATGTACAATCTCATTGCCCATTTATGTCTGATTGTTTTTTCTTCAAGCTTTGTATGATTCCGGTAAAACAGGCTAAACTAATATTAATTAGAGCTGCACAATGGCACAGTTGGTAGCACTGTTGCCTTGCAGCAAGAAGGTCCTGGGTTCAATTCCTTGCCCGGGGTCTTTCTGCACAGAGTTTGCAAGTTCTCCCTGTGCATGGGTTTACTGTCTGATATCTGCTCTGAGTTCATTTGTTTTGGAAGGAGTTGAAGAGGGTATTCATGTGTTTTCAGACAGAAATACAGTTATACTGAGTCATGCTAAATATGAATTTAAAACCATTAAAACTGTCTGAGCGGCACATCTGTAATCCATTCCTTCTCAATGAGTTTATATTTACTTTAGAATCCTTGTTGACACCAGCCAACTACTATTTTATGTGTTATACTTTTATTGAGCCATTTTGAGTCAATCACTGCTGAAAAACAGATTTTATCGAGAGTTCCCTACTGTCACATATCTATTCTGAATGTTAATTTAGATAAATAAAGCCTCTGTCAACATCATAAACAAAGCACCCGGTTGCCAGCTGTTACCAGTTTATTTGAACAACGGTCCAGCTCTTGCCATTGGGTTTAGCATTCATTCGCTCTTAGGGCTGTCCCTTCCTGAACCTTTGCTTCCAGGAAATTCTATAAAGAAAGCAAACCTTCCTTCTTTTCATGTGACATCTGCAAAGGAAATACAAAAGCAGTGACAAAACGGATGCTCTAATCAGATTTTCCAAGTGAAATGTATTCACATATCTGTCTTTTAGCATAGTGATACAAATTATGATGTGCAAACTTTTATTTTTTCATTCAAGGTTATCAATATGAAAATGGCCGGTGCAAGATGCGGTGGTGCAAACTTTTTAAGTGTACAGGAGTACTTTGTACTTTTTCAAATTTTACATTAGAAATTGGAGACAAAATGTAGACAAAAATGCTTATTCACATATTTATGTGAATACATATGAATAAATAGGATTTGAAGTAAATATACAAACAAATGAAAGAAGGTGTATGAAATTACCTGCAGAAGTTTTGCATGCTCTTGAGTTAAAGGACACATAGTCACCCTGACATTTTGTTCAATTTGTATAAGTGCTCCTGTTACGTAATTGACAAGAGTCTATTGTCTTGTTACAGAACAGGCAGTGCTGGAATAGGCACTTTCCCCAACAAACCACTGTGCCCATAAAGCTGATCCCCTTTCAGGCTCAAGGCTGAAAATCATGACTATTAAGACAGGCAAGGTTCATTGGAGAAGCTTGAACTTCCATCTTATTGCAGGGTCCCAAATGTTCTCTGGACAGGGTGTTGTTTATTAGTCTGATAGGAGAGTTAAACTGTGTGAAATCAGAAATTTCCCTAGGTTGTTCTGGTTCATATTTTTGGATTTACATCTCATGGGGTTTATTCCTGAAACAAATTTTAAGCACGGTTTACTCTCAGTTGCTCCGTTTTGCATATAAATTAACAACCCAAATAGAAAAATCACCTGAAATGAGTGAGAGGTTCAGTGCATTTAATGTCAGATATAAGCAGTGAATGTTACACAATGAAAAAAAAAAAGTTGTTGCATATTTATAGAAGATATGTCTATGTAATGAGCAGCATCAAGTCATGCACATCTTCCTTTGTGTCCTAAAAGCTTGATTTTTTTTGTCTGCCCTCAGTTGGCTGGAGACACTTTAATTAAAAAAAGTTACAAGATTAATGAGTTGCATCTTAATAAAGTTGGTGCAATGACATACTCACCCAACAGATGAGAAAATTTGACATCAGATATATCAAAACTGCTTTTTAATAGTTCTGTTCAAGATCAAAATGTTGATTGGCTTAGAAGCTGAGAGATAATTGCTTTCTCACTTTTATCTTTGTTATGAGAACCACTTTCAACTAATATAATACAGCTCAGTAAAGAATATAAAGATAAAAATAGTCGCGAGACCAATGACTAACAACACTGAAATGACCTTGTCTTGTTTGATTAAAAGTAACAAAATACAAGTCATTTTGAAATTAAAGCTGTAACAATCTCTGCCATTAAACCAGATGATTTTAAATTTGAGATTTTACATTTGCACATTCATTAAACAGTGCGTGTAATTGTGAGACGCTTGTAATTCTTTTGCTATTCTTGATTTTAATATGTCAAATGAAAACCATTTGCCCCTGACTAACAGAAATGTTTTATAACCAACGTTGAAAATAGGGCATTAGAAGGGAAATCTTATCCCTTTTTCTAAACATTTAATTATTTGTATTTTAGAAAAGATAGTTCTAAATTTTATAGAAGGTCTGTGAAAGATTCAATGTATTGCTTATTTTGAAAGTATTTAAGAATCAAAGCATGGTAACTCTCATAAAATGCCATGACGTGAAAAAAAAAAAGTTGATTCATTTAAATGAGAGATATTCCAGTATTTATTGAATATCAGAAAATTTATAAATTTCCTGAATAATTTTATGCAAATATATTTTAGGTTGAATTTTAGATGCTCATCAATCTTGAATTTTACAAAAATTAATATATTTAGCACTTTGGGATTATTTAAGATTAATACTGAGTTGTTGAAAATGGGAAGGAAATCTGACATGATCTCACAAACTTCAAGTGAAACCCTTTTGGCCTGTTTTTATATTTTTACTACATACCAATCATTTTGCTTACAGTCAGCACATACAGAACACCTGTATTGTAACCCCAAATATGCTAAAGAATCTAAAAGAACAAGAAATGCATGAAACAGGGAAAAAAAAAAAACACAAAAAACTAAGTCATTGAGATCTGTTGGTTTAGAAAGGCTTTTGGATCACAACAAATTGCAAAGATCATCTCGAATGGGAAAAAAACATTGATCAGTGTTAAACCTTTCCCAACCTTCCAAGGACTCCAGTACCACATAAAGTCATTGACCCATTCATACACTAATTAAAGCACTTTGAGTAGAAGGCTATATTAACAGGATGCCGTGATCTGCGCCACCAAGCCCTTTGACCACCAGCTCCAGGCGAGACCGGTGAAGTGTCTTGCTGAAGGACACAATGGCTGAGAAAACCCACTGGTTACAGGACAAATCCTTACTTGAGCCACTGCTATCCCCTTTTCACATTCAATGAGTGTGATCAGTGACTAAGGAACAAAATAACGCACAGATGTATATGTGCTTGAGAAGGCTATGAATTATTCAGGGAAGAGATCTTATTTACATAGTTTGATGCTCCCTTCAATGCATCTTGAGTCACTTCGGTGATGTAGAAAGGTCTGAAGACATGCATGAACACAGCCACTATCAGACTCATAGGACTGGCAGCATTAGACTAGGTTTCTCACTCTTTATGTGGAAGTATTCTCAAAATATCTTTACTTCCAAACTGGCAAGCATCAAAATAAATACTGTTGAAAATTTGATAGGTTTAATGTCACCATGTGCAGAAAAGAAATAATATTGTGCTCTGACTAATATATGAGACCAATGTATTTTTGCATTTCTTTGTTCATTAAATTAGATGTGCTAAATTCTGTTCTTAATGTTCTTAATTGTGTTTTCTTCTTAATTGTCAAAATGCAGTGAATGTGGTTAAACCGCTGTTAAACATGCTTGTTTTTGTAAATGAGTAAAACACTGGTAGTAAGCGGCTGTAGACTGCAGGATACAATCTATGTAACTTGAGATTGGTGAAATCATGTCACGTGTTTCTAAAATAATTGTATCTATATTTTAAAGATGGAGACATAGTCTAATTATAAGAAAATATCTTGTTGAGAGAAAGAAAAAAAAGAAAACGTCTAGTAAAATACTACACATATTGAGCTCAAAATACATTCATGTATACAGTCCTGTAAAGCACTTTGAGTTATAATTGATTCTGAGGAAGTATATAAAAAGTGCTCTATAAATAAAGTTAGTTTAATAGTTAAATAACTATTAAATTTTGCAATTGTTACAAAGCACATGTCTTGCAGGCAAAATTGGAATAACTAATAAACTAATTTTGTAACTCCATCCTGCAGAAGTGTTCAGGAGATTTTGGACACGTTTACCTAAAGTGAAACCTTTAGGTAAACACCCATTCACTTCTGAAAACCCACCCTTCCTCAGCCAGGATGCTCAGCTGCCCATACTGTAGACATTCCAGTCTGATTGGCTTAGCTGCTGGCCTCCGTCCCAAAGGGCGTCTGTATAAAAACCCCCCAAGTGGTGAAACCCAGAGACAGACAGCAAACAAAGCTCAAGGAGACTTGCAGAGGGCTAACAGGAAATAACAATTCTCTTCTAAGTGCTGCAACTGAAAGCGTCTGAAAATGTGCAAAGGATTAGCTGCATTACCTCAAACCTGTCTTGAAAGGTAAGAATGTTATTCACCTGTTTTTAACTGTGCAAAACAAGATATCAACTGTGTTGTTACTCAGGGTACAGAAAAGTTCTGAGGGAAGTTCAGATCAGTTTTTTTTTCTCTATCTCGGATTAATATCTTCTCCCAAGTAGTTCTTTTCTGGTTTTATGAGGCTCTTCAAACTCATCTTGTTATTATTATTTATTTATTTTTTTTTATTACTTTTAACAGCATTAAGTTACTTTTTTATAAGTAACTTTGCAACTACCCAAGATCAACACAGTCTGTCTACTATAGCTTTATCAGAATAATAAAACAAAGACATTTGGTTTCAAATAACGTTATCAGCATCCTGACATGATGGTGATTTCTATCCCAAAGACTTTAACTGCATCTCTGTTACTTTTTCCAAGATGTCAAACCAAAAACGTAACATCTGCTCCTGATTTACCTAACCCAGGGCCAAAGAGATCAAGTCAAAGTTGGGAGTTTTGCTTCAGAAGCCTGATAATGCTATCGATCTCATCATCCCTTACCCGGAGAAGGTTGACAAGAAGCCGGAGAAACTGCAGAAGTGAGTGTTCTGTTTTGTTCTACAAGACTAATGATTGGCTGTGCCTGCTAGGTGACCTGTGTATTGCCTGTTGCCTTAACCAGATAAGTGAAGGTAAAGTGGAAGAACAGAGCCCTGAGCATTCACAAAGAGGCGCTGATCAAAAGAGGTTAGACCTCCCCAGACAATGATTTGCCTCAAATGTCAAATGCAACAAAGCAGATACCTTGAAGAGATTTCTAGTAGATAAAATTAGGTGGGAGACATTCAACCTTGCTTTTTTATTTGTTTTGTCTTTTCTTTGCCTCGACTTTGCTAAATTACAACCTTGTAAGAATTCAATATTCAATATTCAAACAGGCTGCTGTTGAGTCACTTAACAAATCGTGTGATTGCAATACTTTCTGTCCTGCCACTAATCTTTTCAGATGCATTTAAGACCTGAAGCTCCGCAAAACTGTGCAAAAAACAGAGCATAGAGGGGGCAGAAAGGTCACAGCATTTTAGGATCAAACACAAACTTAGGTATCCATTGTACCCCTTTGAACTTGTTTTAAAGATTAAAGTCAGAGTTGAAATAGTTCTCGTGACTGGGCAGACGCACACTAAATACCAGATGGAACCTGCTTTGGGAAATGTTTCCCATATTTTAATAAATTGGAACACCATATCTGAGGTGTGAGTTTTTGTGGATTTAAAATACATGCACTTCATATGTGAATATTTGTCATTTAATTATTTTTTGAAAAAATATATCCAGAATTTCCTTCTGAATCTGAACATTTTATTTTTGCTTGTGTTTGGATAATATCATCTTGGTGTTTTGTTGAAATAACAGGCATTAGATTCAGGTACAACACTTAAGTGTGAAAGATGATACATCTTTCCAAAACCAAAACTTCAGATCTGTCCTCCAATGTTTCTTTTTAATTTAAAACACACATCTCACAAAAATTGTAGTACTGCTGAGAAAAAAAAACAACAAAGCCAAACAAAACAAAAAATACTTCAAATTTTGCTAAGTACCCGCACCACAAATATCCATGAATTCATTAGTTACTATTTATTTTCTTTTTCTCCATGCAGGCCTTCTCCTGAAGAGGCTGCTCAGTGGCGTGAGAGTCTGGAACGAGTCCTGAACAACAGCTGTAGGTCTCGTTCTTTAATTGATCTTTAACTGTGCCTATGTTAGTTACTGTGAATTTTATTTGTAACCTCAAATGGATTTGTAGGAACAAATTATGTCTTTTTTAAAAACAAGTGTGACAAGTAGTGTTTTAAAATTGTTTCCCAAAAAACATATTGGTATATACTGGTTAATAAAGACTTTAGTTGGGTTTTTTTTTTGTTTGTTTTTTTCAAGATATTTTTTCCAAACTGTGTGACTCACATTTTCTATTCCACCAGTTTTGGGGAAATCTAAAAATTGCACACAGTTTCAAAATGACATAGAGAAGCATCCGAGTTTGATTTGTTGGGAGTGCAACCAAGCAAAGATGCTGCAAAACACATCATTATTTTGTTCTAAACACACCATTACACAGCATCCAGAGCAACAGATATCTAAACAGAATATACTGATGCCCAGTGTCTGTCTGTCTTGTTTAAACAGGTTCAGCACACCAAGCAAGGCTTGGTTTCCATAAACATTTTGCAGCTTGTGTGCTGTTTAGAAACATGAATGACAGTAGTTAGGGTTGAAATTAATAATGACAAATATAATGATGAGGATATGTTTCATTTAGTATCTCACCCAAGTAGGTTTTCATAAGCACTTTAGAAAAAGCTGATTTTCAATTTGTAATTGCAAAAATGGTCAAACAATAAAAAAAGTTTAAGAACTAGACTTGTAACCAGTTCCTGTATACTTTTAGATCTAACCAATTAAATAAATTTGAATGTGCAATTGATCAAGCAGCTTAACATCTTCAAAAACTAACTGCATGAGACAAAACATGGGTCAATGTTTCAAACAACTTAAACCTTCAATGGGGCTCCAGGAATTGTGTCCACTGTTGAGCAGCTGGAAAGAAGAAAGCAACTTTTCGAAAAGTAAAAAGTTTTGTGTTATTCTAGTAGTACTATGAAAACAGGGACATAATGATGAAGAAAAGAAGAAAGCTTTAGAAACTCTTTTTACTGGGCAACATATTAAAATAATCTGTTGTAAAAACAATCAAAAACACAGATCTGTGACTAATTCTATACATAGTTAAGAGTCTGAAAAAATGTTATCTACAAAGAAATATTTACATTGGAATATCTTAAAAGATGATGTTAACATTGGAGTAGTTTAGGTGCCAACCTAAACTAGGAGAAATGTTAGCAACGCTCTGTGAGGGAAAACACATTTATATTCTCTGTGCATACCACAAGCAGACCTCCTGCTCCACTGTTTACCTCACAAAGTGCTCAGACAGCCTAACCAGTGAGACGGATGATTACCTCTAACAGTATTTATCCATATGTGTAAACTATCCTGCTAATAAGTTACTTGTGTTAAAACCACGTAGAGATGTCACTGAAGAGCTGATTTGTGTAAACTGAAACATTTTCTCTTAGGAGTTCAGTGGGTGGCAAAAGACCTTCCTAAGTGACTTCTTTAACACAGTTTGAGACTCAAAGATATATTTGTACAGCCTTTGCACGCTTGAGTTAGTCTGTGTATGCACTTATGTTTGTGTGTTTAAAGCTGCCCATGGAGGTTACTCGTGTGTTGGTAACATCTCTAGGGAGACATCAGACAGAGTCCACAAGACTGATTTATATCTCAGTTGCTGTGTCATAATTGTTTAATCACTTTCTATCTTACAGGAAAATTATATTTCTTTCGCTTAATGTTGAAATAACAATAAAATCTAAATTCTTCTGACAAGTATTCAGCTAAACAGTCTTTAATTTTTGATACACAAAGTCTGTGTCATTTGTGCCTGTGAATGTGTGCTTCCTCATATGGGTGTCCTTGTACTAAAGGCCTGTTAAAAAAAAAAAAACTGGAGCTTGATTGCAACCCGGAGCTATTTTGGACCAAGCCAGCCATTTAGATGGAAGATAAAAGCCTAAGGCCACAGCAGAATGCTTATCATCTGCAACACCGGCTTGTTCAGACAATGGGAGCTTTCACCAGCATTTTGTGGAACCACAATAACCTTGGCTGAGATGCGTAGATCTTATACTTTGGGATGACCACAGCGCATTTACTTTGAAAGTAACAAATTGTTCCTGAAAGTACATAGTTAAAATGCAATTCTCTGAAGTAACAAAAAAAAAGTAAATCTTCCAAACCGGAAAAGAATGCAGTTCATGCATCCACCAATAAGCTCATCTCATTACAGTGATGAAAAAATAAAAAATAAAAAAATTGTGTTAGGACAGTGCAGTCGTTAAGAATAACCACATTTTGGGCCTCATTTGAATTAAAAGAAGAAAACTTCTTTGGGGAACTTTTGGACAAGTACATATATTTTGGTAATAATAATGAGACGAAACACTTTACAAGACATTCCACTTCTATCATTTCTGTGGAATACTCTCCCAAAGCTTTGAAGTTTTCAATATGTCTTTCTAGATAAAACGAGAGTCTTTGTCATTTTTTTTTGGTTGACAATAATTTTGACCCTGGTGTTTTCCTTTAAATTGCCTTTTTTTGCCCAGTCTCTTTCTTATTGAGGATAACTGATAATCTAATGTTTGGCAAATGAGTCCATCATGCTCTGAATATTGGTTTGTTGTCTGTTTATCCTGGATTAGACTGGTAGGCTGGCCACTCCTGGGAAGGTTCATCATTGGTCCAAGTTTTCACAATTGCAATGCAATGTCATTAAACAGAGTTTCAAAGCCTTATAAATTGTCATATAATGTGATATTAGGGGATGAGGAAAACGCTGAGGACCCAGGTTAAGAAAAGAAACGATGATTTTAATGATGAAAAACACAATCCAAAAGTCCAAAATCCCTGGCAGCCCAGCTGAGCGGAAACTAAGGCTCATCACTGGTAGCGACAGGTGTACGAGTGGAAGTCACAAACGAAACGAGAATACACAGAGCTAATCACAGAAACGAGACACACCTAGGAGTAATCAAGAGGAGACAGGACAACACTCAGAGACAAAATAACTCAAAATAAACGCAGAGAAAAACTCAAGTTATGACATAAATGGCTTTTATAGGTGCCTACTAAAGGTGATAAGTAGAGGTTAAATAGATAAACAGAGGTTATATGTAAGTAATCCTCTTGTGATGGAATTAATGTGGCTGTAAACTGATATGCTTTGTTCAAGTGTCATGAAGATGTATAGTTAATGCTTAAAGCAAATCTATTATTGTGTTCTCCTATTTGATTTTATTAACTCCCTCTGTCTTTGTCAGATGGCCTGGCTGCTTTCCGCAGTTTCCTTCAGTCTGAGTTCAGTGATGAAAACATTGAGTTCTGGATGGCCTGTGAGGACTTCAAGAAGTCAAAGAATCCTATGAAGATGGCTGCCAAGGCCAAAAAGATCTATGAAGACTTCATCCAGTCAGAGGGACCCCGAGAGGTCAGAGAATGCCCATTCCTATGCTATATTCTTTAATATTCTACACTAATCTTCTATAGTAATAGAATAGGTTATTTATAATTAAGCAATGTCAGACTTTATGCATGTTCGTTTTTTCTGTTAACTGTGAATATTTGTAACTTTTCCTCATCAGGTGAACATTGACCACTTCACCAAGGATGTGACCCTGAGGAACCTGGTGGCTTTGTCACCTTCTACCTTTGACCTGGCTCAAAAGAGAATTTATGCCCTGATGGAGAAAGACTCCTTTGGTCGTTTCCTCCGTTCTGACCAGTACCTGGAGCTTCTGGTCAACTAAGCCAATTAAGAGTTCAGGAAGGTGGGGAGGTTTCAAACAGCAGCTGATTTGTAAAAATGAAGCCAAATTCACATATTTGATTCAAGCAAATATCTATAAAGCACTCTTCCATAGGACTGAGTAAAGAATTAAGGTATTCTCAAAATTAGGTTTCAAAATTTGGCTCTAGATTTATATAAAATTCCAAACTGCACCTTGAAACAGCCCCATCTTTCCACATAACATGTTCATGAATTTCTATCTGAACTAGAGATTTTGAGGAAGTTGATTTGACCTGTAACTGTTACAGTTTCCCCTTGTATATTCTTCAGATATATCTGCTCAATATTCAAAGTAACTGAAACAGAAAAAAGGTTAGGAATCAGGAACAGTTTCATTTTTCAATTTGCTCCTTTAATTTGGGATGAGAAAACATCAGAATACACTCTAAAAAAAGCATCTGTTACATTTGTCAAAATAGATGAGATATTTCAAAAGTTGCGTTGCCACAAATTCATCAATTTTACCTTAGAACTTTAAGTTGAAAGACTTTCTGCACCAGTTGTTTGTAAACATTTATAAAAAAACAAAACGATAATGTCTTAATCTTATTAGGAAATAAGTAATTTAACAAAAATGACTATATGCATGCAAATTGACAAACTTTATTATTTTCATTCTTACTGACCAACAAAATTCTTCTTAATAGATGATGTCCAGTTGAAATAGTCTTCATGAGAAAAATGCATTAAAAGTTCTCGAAAACCAAATGCAAGACTAGATCATGCTTCTGCGATTATAACAAGAAGACTCAGAAAACATGTTACATATATTTTAGTGTCTGGGAGAGAAATGAGTCATTTATCTATAAGAAGGACATGCAAAGGTAGCTGTTGCAAGTCAAGGGCAAGAACATTTAAAGTCCTTCGTCATCATAATTTACTGATAAGTATGAAGCTGTATCAGTGCACAAATATGGATTTTCTTGTTTCTCCACATAACCGTTTCACATTTCCATTATTAGCACTCTTGGATTATTACCAAACCCACCTTTTAGTGGTAATTCTTCCTGTAGGAGCAATTCATGAGAACAGTGCTGACGAGCTGGCTCAGTGGTGCAACCCTTAGGTTCCCACTAAAATGCAAGTTGCTAAGATGGGAAAACCAAGTAGGAGAGAATCTCAATTTTATAAATGGTATAAACAGAGTTGTGGGTTTATATGAAGAAAGTTCTTTTAATTTTCCCATGTGATAAAACTAAAGTTTCACTGCAAGTATGCATGTCAGGTCCGTAAAAGATCCAGTTATTAAAAACATGGGAGAAGGAACTTAAAGGTTTGCAGCTCTTAATAATGGAATGCCATGTAGGCAATTATATTTGCAAATTCACTTATTACAAGTTAACAATAAGACTCAAATGAATATCCACAGAAGAAACATTATCAAAATATGAATCCTGTAGTTTTTCTTTTTCTTTTATTTTTTACAATTATCTCCATCATACAGCATTTAAACCACAAGATATACAGTTTTTAAGCCACAGAAAATCATAAATCACCCAGGTACACTTGGTCAAGATAATCTGATATAATGGAGAGGTTGTTGTAAGAGTGCAATGTTTAAGTGTAAAGTGTTTTGCAATGAGTTGATTATTGACAAATGTATTCATCCTTATGTGTGATTATATGTACTCTTTTTTTTTCCTTTTAAATTTAGAAATCATTATATTTTAACCACCACTGAAAACAAATTTATATTTCACATATTAAGCATTTTAAGCCCTTAACATGCCAATACAGCTTACTAATTTCAGATGGTATATTTTTAAAAATATTTTCAAGTCATTAATTACATTTTAAACTTCCTACATTCTGCACTAGATGACAAGTCCAACAATTATCCAAACATTTTGGACAGAATTGACTACAGGGTCTACAGGGACACAGATTGACCAGTCTGGTGTCAGAACCCTAGAACTACAAGCAGAGAAATCCTTGGAATATCATAAAATATATAATTTAAGGGCTTTCATAATGCTGAATACATGTAATTTCATGTAGCCTTGCATGTATGTTTTGTAGTGGATCACATAAAATATATATAATGCATACAATTGTTGAAGATGTATTTATTTATATTTGTAAATATCTAAGTTATTCTAAATACAACAATGGAGTCAATGATTCTTTTCATGGAGAGCTGCAGAGAGCTCTTAGGCTCTTTCTACTGTTATAAAAACAAAATTTGACTTTCTTTTGTTATTTTGTTTTTCTTCACCAGACAATTATAAAGTTTTGTGGATGCAAAGACTTACTTTTTTGTCATGGGGATGAAAATGTTATATGGTGACATAACATCAAAATGTTAACATTAAAATGTTAATGTCATGTCAACAAGTGAAAGACTTGGCGAGATGATCTTAAAAAGTAAAAAGCCTTTATCTTAAATAAAAAAATGTTTAAAAAATCCAAGAGCAGAGTTTTAAGAATATTGTCCTCTGCAGGTAGATGCCAACATTTACTTTCACAACAAGGAGACTAAACCTAACATGTTTCTAAATGAATGTTAGCTGCCCCATAATTCTTAACATAGTAAAACAGAAAAAAACCTGTCTATATGAAATTGTATGACATCTTTAGCCATAAAATAAATTATGGCTAATTAGAAGTTATGTTTATATTCACATCTAAACACTATATGTGAGCCACAAATAAGTTAAACACCTACTTTAGTTTTGTCTAAATGGTGGACAGAACAGAACAAAAATCAAAAGCTGCCCATACCACAAGGCTGCATGTAAGAAGTACGCAACTCAAACGTCAGTAAGAGTTCGAAGAGCAGAGCGGAAGCAGATGCGACTGAAGAACTGGCTGCCAACAGTGTTACAAGTTCCAAGGACGCATCAGTTACTACAAGATTTCTTGGGCGTAATGGAAAAGGTCACATACTTTAATTCCCCAAAGGAGGTCGGTGACTTTCTGACCAAAACTTTGTTTAGCTGTAACATATACAATACATTGACATTTTTCCAGAAACCTGGTAATGTGAAGTCTTAAAATTAAGTCATGTGGAAAGGCTGAATATATGTAAAAAAAAATACAACAAAAAAACAGTTGTGTTTACCAGTATACAGTATATCTATTGCAAGGCATGTTAAACTACCATAGCACCCGTGTTATTGTCTACAGTTTATTCATTCATTCATAAACTTTATGTATACAGGTAATTTGTATGAAAAATATTATTGAATTCACTATGCAATATGAAATGTGCTTTGTAACAAGTAGACATCATTCAAATATCACAAAATGCATGTTTCTTTTAAAGTATCCCGTCTGGGAGTGCTGCTCTCGGATTTGCCTGACTATCAAGGAGACAATTGACACAATTATCAATTCCCTGGCAGACAAGTCAATGGCCCTCACCATACTATTGCAAACATAAAACACCTGGGGCTACCCAAATGCCAGTTGCAAAAAAGGCCTATATCATAAAGTTTATGACAACATTTATAGAAAGAGAGTTGTGCAAAGTAGAATGTCAGCACAAGTGAGGAAATCTATCTAGAAAAAGTGGTTTAAAAAAATTTCCTTGACCACTCAAAATTAACTACATACTGTGAAATAAGTTGCGAACCACACCACTGCCATCTTTACTAGCACCAGAGGTGGTCCTGGCCTGTTTGACGCCCTGGGTGAACCACCCTACAGGCATCATCATTATTACCTAACCCAGCCCTTCTAGCATAGTTGGAATCTGTATTTTATATCACTAATTTTCCATTTTAGTTCAATTAGTGCAATTACTAATGATGTAGTATTAAGCTTAGTAAACTTCTAGTCAGATTTAAAACCCTTTGGAAAAGTAAAGTTAAAACATAACATCCTAAAACTGAAGAGGTAGTGATTTCTTGTGTCAAATCTTGTGTAAGGCGTCTTACAATAATTATGTCTAATATGGCATTCTCAAAACTATATGTGAACCACATAGTTGTATAATCTATCACCATCTATATGTCATCAATACATCTATGCTTTCTAATCTGTAATATATTCCTCAGCATTACAATCACAATAGTACATCAGGAGGGCACTCCTAATTACATTTTTAACCATTCAATGATTAGAACTTGGAAAAAACATCAAAACCTTAATTTTAATGTTGACTTTTATGAAGTATGTTATCAATGTACTGTATTTTAAAAACAAATTGACTTATGTGAATGATGTGGTTGTATTTGTTAGTTATTATTCTGTTTTCTAATGTATGTTGTTAAATAATTGACATGCTGCTTTGTCTTCTCTTTTTATGATCACATTTTTTTGAGTCAGAATTCAAGCTCATTCAGACTTGATTTCAACATCTTTTAGCCACTGGCTTTCCCCAAACTAGTCAATAAGTTCAATAAAATTGAAATGATGAAAGTCACACAGTCTTTGTGCTCAATCGGGTTTAGAATGACACCCTGTCTAATCTTCCCTTTATTTAGTGTTTGTAGGACTGATTGAAAGCAGATGGTGTGGATAGGATGAACTCAAAACCCTTACACAGAGATCAACAGTGACGTTGGCCCTCATTCACACAATTCATTTTTGTCTGTCACAGTCTGTCACAGTAATTAAGGTACTTGACCGAGGAAACAAAGACGGCCAAGTCTTATTTAAATTCCACTGTCATTCTGTGAAGATCAGGGTAATATTTTACAAAAAAAAATTTAAACAGTCAAAGAGAACATTATAAAACTCAAGATCAGGAGTTAACAAACAATTCATGTTTGATGCAGAACCTGACTTGTTAATCTGTTGATTCTATGCTGACAGTCAATACTTGATAGTCACAGGTGTGAATGTTATTCACTGTGGAGTGACATTCTATAGAGCATTGAGCAGATATGCTGTTTGCCATATTCAGTCATGTCTCACCTGCTGTCCAGCTGTCCTTTGTTTGTCAACCTGCCTATTAACCCCTGTCACTTATCAGCTTCAGACTGCTTACAGCTTACCCAGCTGCTTCTCTTTGTCTGATTAACCTTCATGTGTCTTTTAAGAAAGCCCATAATACACTCAGTTTAAACAGTTTAAGTTTGTCTGACCTTAAATGTCAAGGGATAAATATCCCCCAAACCCAAATCATTGCTTGATTACTTTTCATCATCCTTATTTCAGCCAAGTTAAGTTTATTTACATGGCATATTTCAGCAACGAGGAAAATCCAAGTTCTTTACATCATAAAAATATAATACCATAACAAATTCTGAAACAAGCAATAAATATTACATTGCTTCAAATTTCATCAGCGAGCAAGTATTCATCAAATATATTAATGTATGTTCCAGCTATTATTGATCAAAGGCCCCTCCAAATGGGAGTTTTTTATTATTATTGTTATTATTATTATTCCAAACATAATCAGTTTTGGAGTTTTATGTGAGTTTGTTTTTGGAGTCAATGTATAGAGCTGAGGTGATGTGCTCTTCTTTTCTCGTTTTGGCATTGTAGATCGTCAAGCCACAATACTATACAATAAGTGGTGAAGTACTTTACCCTTTAAAATACTGCAAGACTTATTTTCAAAGAAAATGCCTGTGATAAGACTCCTGACATAGAGAGTACCTAACGTGTTTTCTTGTCTGTGCTGTTGCCACCAACGTTGCCATTTAATTCATTTTCAGTTCTATTTCTGTACAAAACAAAATATAAAACTTTAAGTGTTATAAACATACTTGTAATTTAGGCTACATCATCGCAAATGTTTCCTTATTGTAAGCCTGAGGCAATATTCTAATTTTTAAAAAAATTAAATAATAATAAATAAAAAAAACCTGAAGGCTTGAAAACAATAGTCTGCATGCCATCCAGATTATTTATTTCCCCTCAAGAAAGGAGTTGTGGGAATAATTAAACTTTTTAATAATGTTATAGTTTAGCAAATATGACTGTAAGAATGGTATGCAACGGTTCCATAGTTAACAATAAGGTGCAGACATATTCTGAAGATCAATTTTATTCTGAAGTGTTTACAAATGAAACATCATAGAAAATAAACCATACATCCAGATGTGGCAACAGGGATGTGTGTATTGTATGTACTTGGTGCATGCATAATTGGGTGATAGAGATAAGTACCTTTGTGTATCAGAGGGTACGTGCTTTCTTGCGCGCATGATAACATTAGAGCTCCAGACCCTCCTGTCAGGTTTCAATTATCAAAGCTCACAGCTGCTTAGCGTTTGAAAGCCTGGAGAAAAAATCCACAGATAAGCAGGTTAATGCAGAATGGAGTACCGCTTAGGGCCAGAGTGTCTCAGCCTGTCCAGGACCTGGGCATTATTACAGCTGCAGGCAGAGAAACACACATACTTGCAAGACAAAACCTCTAGAATTTTTTTTTTTTTTTCAGATAAAAACATACTGAGCAAAGACATTGTACTTTTTTCTATTGTCCACAAACTAATGCTGGTGATCATTGTTGGATTTTTTACTTGATTATATTAATTCAGACTTTTTTGTTAATGTGTTGTTTACAGAGGAGTTAATCTAATCACAATACCAGTCAGAGACAGAGGAGGAGGAGAACAGGGCATACTGATTGGATGGAGAATGCTACAAACTACAAAAGAGAAAATTACAACAAAGGTCAGTTTCCCAAGGTTAGGAAACGGTTTCCTAACATTGTAGGAAACTGTTGTAATTTTCTCTTTTAGGTAGCTGATTTGTCATCAGAAAAAAGGAATGATAGTTACAGATAAACCAGGTGTTCAAATGAAGTGCATAAAACATCAATAGAAATCTAAAAATGGATTTCAACCCCAGAACAATAGCAAAATATAAAACAGCCTGTATCTGATATGGGAGTCATTATGTGCAGTAAAAACAGTCCTGTATATGGATGGCCTAAAAAGCATCTCAGAGGGAATCCATTGAACCAAAAGCAATATGTAAATACAAATTAGAGTTTGCAAATCATTCAGGAACAAAGATCTAAATTTTCAAGATACATCCTATTGCCTATTAAAACCAAAATAGAACAGTTATATGTTTAGGAAGAAAGGGGGGAAGAGCTTTAGAGCAGTTTGTTCTCAAAGACTATATTGACCATTCTTGATGTAAATTGACACACGAGTGAGACACCGCTAGCAGATTTCATCCAATTGTTGTATGCATCTTGGCGATCTAGAAAAAAAACTGCAGCAAGATTGAAGTGCACAGATAAAGACTTTGCATTCCTTCAACCTTGATGTGTCAGTACTAAATTGTTATAGTAGTGTCTGAATAATGCCAAAGGTGCTCCTGCCTTTTCCTTAGCTTGCAAATTTAATCCAGTAAATAAATTATTCATTCATTAATTCAAAAGGTTGTATTTGAGTGTACTTTTTTACATTGTGAAGAAGAACATGAATGAATCTTCACCAATTCATTGCTCAGGAAAGAGATGGAGGAGATTAATATTTTCACAGATTATCTGTCTCATATTGTACATGGTAACCTTTTTAACAAACTGTAAAACTGTAAAAACAAAGCAAAAACATAAAAAAATAACACACAGCACATTTAATAGAAGTACAGAATGCATACAGAATTGTCTGACCACACATGTAATTCATATTGTCAGCATTTTGCCTTGCTTCAGGTATGCATCTCTGCAGTACCTTCAAAAGTTGCAGACTCTTTGAAGCGACTGCAACTGGAAACTTACATACTAATATGCCTGTTTCTTTTTCTAAAATATGGATACAATAGTTTTCAATGAGTCAGATTGAGCTATGTTTTTTAGTACTGCTTTAAGCTCTGCAACTTTATCACTTTGTCTTCTGTGTTCCTTGGTCTTCATGATGCTGTTTGCTCACTAATGTTTATTGAAAATTCTCTTAAGTTGTGTTTCTTAACCACAATCCTCAAGCCACACTGCCCTGCAGCTTTAACACGCCTGATTCAGATTAATCCAGTTCAGCAAAAGCCTGTTTTGATGCAGGGAAACATCTAAAACATGTGTTTTCCTTGAGGACCAGGATTGAAAGACAGTGCCTTTTTGCGTCACTTCTGCATGCCAGAATGCTAAGGTAGCATACAGTTTGCAGACTTTCCAATGTAAATATTTTTTTCTGACTTCTGATTGTTAAAATTACTAACAAATTTTAAATTGTTGCCTGGGGTTGGATCCCCAACAGTACATTAATATTTTTACTTTTATTCACTTTATGTTTTTAAACTTGACATGGCTCTTTACTGCTCCCAGGGGAATTGCCTAATGTTAGTACTTGTCAGGGAAGGAAGTTGACAATGACTTGTTTCGCATAATATTTGAAAGTGTTCTTACAATTAGATTGTATGTTAAAAGAGAAAAAAAAAACAGTTTTCTCAGTTGGATAAATTGACTGAACTATTTAGTTGTAAGCACAAACATTTAGAAAAAGCATGTAATCTTAGGAAGGCATTTGAAAAAGCGAAATTAATATCTCTGTCTCCAGTTCAATGTTGTCTTTCTTCTTCTGTCCCTTTTTGGGTTTATTATTTTCCGTGTTGTCAGTGCTAATAAAACATAATCACTCATTCATGTTATGTGCTTTATGCCTCCATGATTGCTTGACCTTGCCTTGAATAGTCACATCTGTTTCCTATTATTTCCCTTTAAACTTAGTTTTTTCACCCCTCATTTCAAGTCACATACCATTTACTTTCTTTGTTCTTTGTACTTTGACTCAAATACCAAGAGCCAACAGCTGCTTTTAGTATTTGTTGTGCATTTGACCGAACGCAAAGATAGTGGATGATTTCTTTATAACAACATCTCTTGCACTTAATCCTCTCACTTGTTTATCTTGTACTTTGAAGTATGGAATCTGAAAAAGGACCATATGAAATCTGAATTTTATTCACAACTTTATATTAAATTGCTCACACACCTAAAAAAACAGCAACAGCAAATGGAGTAGGTTACAATGTACAGGTAGGCATTATTAAAAATGTTTGTTTTTTTCCCCAATCTTTAAATTTGTTGGTATGACGTATTTGTCGATTTATCACCGTATTACTATTGGAATGTAACCTTTGTCTCCAACATTCATTTTCCCATATGTCAACTGTTTGAAGCATATCTTTGCAAAGCTGTCCATCTGCTCCCCCCAACGGCAACTAGATATTGTTTTGTGTTTCTGAACTTTGCTCGAGCCTACTGATATTTTCTTTTTTCTCACATCATCCATTGATTGATAACCTTTGGGCCAAACTTTGCCTGAGGTAAAAAAGTGTTTTTCATTTAGTCTTTGCTGTTGTGCTTTGGTCATCAGATGTTTTTTCTTTGTCGTGTTCTGCAGGACTTGCGCAAGATTAGTCTCGGGGATTACACAAGCAGTACCACTCAGAGCTGAGGTTCAGAACGCAGAAATGCTTTGGCCTAGTCACAAAGAAAAGCTTTTGAGCTCAATTCATCAGCTCAAAGGAATTGAGCTGATGAATTCAGGTAAAGTAATGTGAAGCAGACCTCTGAGAAGTAGAGGCTTCTTTAATTTTAAGTATATTACTTTTTTCAAACACTACACCAGAGCTTTAATTTATACTGTACATACAAAACAGGTTGTCTTTAGAAGTTACAAGTATGAAAATAGTTTTTAATACTTGAGCTCAAAAGAATTGAGCTGATGAATTGAGCTGTATTTATAACTCTTGTGGTCTTCAGTGTTGCTATGTTTTTGTAACAAAGTCACTGGTCCAGATAACAGAGGCTCATCCAGGCTTTTGGAAATGTAGCATGGTCAGTGAACTTGCCCTGATGGTAAACGACCATTCAATAGTTAGCATTGTACAGACAGACAGAGAGAAAGAAAGAGAAAAACACATTGTAGTAGACCTGACCTGGGTGAATAAAAATAAACACAAGCCATATTTATAATTTTTCACTATAATTAAATGTAAATTAAATAGACAAAACAGAACATAATAAGCATATGCACCTATATTCAGGAACTTAGCAAGTAATGCAGTAGGTGATTTTGCAACTACTTTTGTTACTTTTAGCAACTCTTGGGAATGCTAATTTCCTAATTAAGAAATTGGCATGACTAGTTTTGACTGCTGTTTTGGTCAATTTGGTGTCTTAGCAGTAATGAGTAGTTCTTGTGCTTTTTACTTGGAAATAAAGTCATGTGCATTCTATGTTGTGAGTATGGGTGGATGTGACCAGTGGATGTGATGCATATCAGGAAGATGTAACACTACATTTGCTCAGATAGCTCTACTTTTCTGTACATAACTCTTTGAGTGGATGACCTTGGAAATGCAACTGCAGTCACCTAAATTAATCTGAAACACAGTGTAAATAACTTACTGATAAACGTGGAGGAGAAACTACTATTGGAGTTCCAGGAGCTCTTTTGTTGAATAATTCAAAAAGATTCAGAAGTTAAAAACCTTCCAAGGCATATTTTATTCCATTTTTGAACCATTGATGGAGAGGTCAACTGGCTTGAGGAACTTAGAGGAAAGCGGTATTTTAAATGTAAGTAACATTAGACCAACTGATATGTGTAAGTCAGGGATATTCATAAATAGATACACCTTCACTTTTTCCTCCGGACTGATATTACCTTGTGCTCTGCTTATTATCAGATGATACTGTTACATTTTGATAATGATCTGTCATCCAAAAACACCGCACAGTCACGAATGGACATAATGTAGGTCTGTAAATCACCGTCTTTTACTGTGATAATAAAAGAACAATTTTACTTTTAAGACCTTCAAGTAAACAAATCAGATCCATATTTACTGATGGATTGAATTATAAAAATTGCAAACATACAGATGAACACATACACACAATCACACCTACACACGCATATACACACACTTTAATAACTAATAAATTGGTCAAAACATCAATCAGTATCCTGTTTAGACACTTTCCTGCAGCAAACAATTGTCTGAATAAGCTGTGGCAAACATATTTTACCACAGTCTATTCAGAGGCTGTGGTCATTTCTATTTGCATTAAATTTCTATTTGCATTAAAAATACTGCCTAATTACCTGTTTTGACGGTAATAGATTAAAACCTTTTTAATTCGCCCATTATGAAAACACAATAATTGTGAGGATTTGAGTTTTTCTATGTGTTTATTTTGATTCTGTGTCCATTGAGTCTCCATATTGCTCTGTCTACGACTTGATTGTTCCCAGGTGTGTCTCGTTTCCTGATTACCCTCTGTGTATTTATACCCACCTGTGTTTCTTGTTGTTTGTCCTTGTCGAATCTGTTGATCTGTCTGGGCTTGTTGCGTCTTGTTTGGATTATTCCAGTTGCTACCAGTGGTGAACCTTAGCTTTCCTGTCATCCTGTGCTGCCTGGACTTTTGGATTATTTGTGCATTTTTCATTATTAAATCATCATCACTTTCTGAGCCACACTCGGTCCTCAGCGTCTCTCTCACCACCTCACACCGCAGTTCATGACAATGATAATAACAATGATAATAATGATAATAATAATAAAACCTTCAAACCCTTTTGGGTTTTTCCTTTATATGTTGATAAAATTTTACGGCGAAATCTTTTTTATAATTTATCACCATGCTTTGTTATTGCTATTCTCCTGATCTTCTCAGACTTAGTATTGAGCGAATGCTAATATTTTATTAATATCATATCTCCACAAATGATTATGTATTACACCTGTGTACAATCCACAGCAAAAAAACAGTCTAACCAATAGGGGAACATCGTGACTACAAATATCCCCAACATTTGCCCAAATACTCCTACTGCAATGTGCAGTTTAGGACAAGTAAATGCATAAGAAAATGAATGACTATCTTCATTGTCATTAAACTAAAGAAAGATTTATGTAAATGGAATAATACATGGCAAACAAGACATTGCAACTTTTGAAGCACAACTTTATTTTGAATAGTTACAGACAGACAGGGCAATACAATAATTGAATATCAACATACACAGTCAATAGTTTTTCAAATCACAGTATACATTGTAATTTAACACATATCTCTGTGTGTGCTCCTTTTCTATCTAGCAAGTCACCATCCATTTTTTGGCCATGCAGCATCGCTTACATATAAATGTTGGAAACACCTCAATAAAAAACAGTTAGCAATTAGCTATTATCTAAAATGTTTGGAGAGTATATAGCATGAAAATATGTCATTCTGATATTAGATTAAGCTATTTTCACAGTGTAGAGCTCATGTCAAGATGTTCATGCAGCACAGCCAATTGATAGTTTTGTTGAATTTTGGGAATTACAAAGCAATGAGAACAGGCATCAGAGACATTCATTTGCTGTTTGCAGAAGCCACCATGAACATTGATTATAGTGTTAAAAAGAGGTTATAAAAATGAAAAACTTAAATTGTTAAGCCATAGAGAGTGTTTGTATCTTGCATTCTGTTTACTGTTGCCACTAAAACTCATTTTGAAGCAAGTGGCTTTATGTTTCTTGCATTCAGTTAAGGTACACTATACCAATATTTTTATGTTGTAATACTGTTTTGTTTGTGAATAGTTACCAACCAACTTAATATTTAATACTTAATGTTTGTCTATGTCAATACAAATATAATGTTGTAATGTTATGCTGGGCTGTATTCAAACACCACTGTGACAAAATGTATATTTGCACAGTGCTTTTAGCTATATCTGAAATACTGAAGTTTTTAAATTCCAAAGAAAAGTCAAAAAATTGCTAAAGTGCAAAGGAGTATCTTGGCAGGTTGATAAACTGAATCAAGTTTTAGTTTTGTAATAAATTTGTGCTGGAAATGCATTAAAATTCAGACCCCATGTGAACATTAACTGAACATGTTTAAGCAGTTTGTGGAACTTACTTGCCTTTTCAACCTTTTTTCAAGTCTGTCAAAGTAAAGAACTTTTTAAAGGTTCGTTTGTTGGTTGGAGGTAGATTGATTGTAATCCATTTTAATGTCTGACCTATGGTTACTACAAGGGTTATAATTTGGAGTCACTATTTGTGGAAACTGTTTGTTTTTTTTATTATTATTGGAAATACAATGCAAGGTCTGTCTGCAGCAGTCTCTCCAGAAAACCACAACACTGCAGATTGTGAATTCAGAGATGAAAAACATTACATTTCATTAAATATGTGACTACTAAAATTTGTAAGTGAATGACAGCAAGTTAAATAAGTAAAAAAAAAAAAAAAATCATCCTCTATAAACCTACATGAGTCACCAGTAAGGATAAACTCTTTCTGATAATTAGTCCCTCTCAATCTAGTTCTCTGTTGCACTTTCCATCTTTGGCACCTGCTTTAAATCTTTACTTCACCGCAGTGTTTAGGCTCCACCAGCTAAAACCTGCCTACTGTCAGGCCAGTCGCAGCCTTTCTTCTCTTGAGCAGCACAACTTTCTTTCTGACATATTTCTTGAATCATTTGGGATTTCAGGAACCTTCTATAAGAGTCTTTTTCCATCAAATTGTAGATCATCTTCTGAGACTCATCAAAACAGGATGGCCCACCACTCTCGATTTCCCGCCTTGTTTTTTCTCTAGTAGCTGCATCCAAGTTTACCTTGAATGAAAAAAAAAAGAGGCAAAGTAGAAATCAGGAAATTTGGATCATATTTTGCAGGGCAAATAGAATGTCATCTTCTTAGTAAACTGGTAAGAAGATGGCATATATCCAGAAAAATTTTCAAATTGTGTTTTGGGAGGGAGCAGTTGCAACTGTGGCAAAAAAAAAACCCCAAAAAAACTCCAAGTTATTTGCTCTTTTCAGAGAATAAAAAAGTTAAAAAAAAAACTGAAAAATAATGAGCTTAGCAGAAAGCTGGTTTCACCATGATTGGTAACTCTGTTCATTGTTGAATTTCCTGGAGAGAATTAAAGTCCTTCCCGAATTAATCAGATTTTCTTATTTTAATTAGATAGACTGAATACTATCATTCATGTGAATTTCTACTGTCAATAAAAAAACAGTCAAAGGTAAATATATTTTTAGTTGCCTGTTCTAGTTCTTTATACTTCATTCACAAAATGAGTCTTAATTTAAAACCTATTGTCTTAAATGATTTTTAAGACAGTAAGTGTTGTATAATGTTTACATAAACAAACTTACTGATTTCATTCAAGCGTTTTTATCAAATAATGATTTTTTTTTACCTCATTTGGAGCATCAGCCTCAACATATTGCTGGTATATTTGCTTGGCTTTGGTTGGCATCTTGGAAGGTGGAGTCTTCTTGTAGTCCTCACAAGCAATCCAGAAGTAAACATTTTCCTGGCTGAACTCTGACTTCAAGAAGCTGGTAAAGATTGTGCGGCCCACTAGGAGTAAGAAAGAAATTATATAGACACGTGATATCACAACTTAACATCTGCTCATCCGTCCATTTGGACACACATTAACATCTAAGAGAAATATTAATCAATAACTGTTATGTTTCTGGACTTCCCATATTTTTTAACTGTAGGATGAAGAGTACCCAGAGGATCATGCAAAATTTACACAGAAAATTCAATTCATGACCATATCTGTGACTACAACAATAGACAATTAGTTAATGCCAAATTAAATGAAATGACCAAAGTGACACTTTTAATAGATTAAAATGGCAAGATATCTATTTTGTGCTGGTCCTTGCCAATGAGAGCTAGGTTTAATTGTCTTAACTTGTCAAATATAAATAGCAGTTAGTCTATACCTACTTTTCAGTTTATCCAAACCAAGGTTATATATAGTGTATTCCAAGTTAGAAAAGCTTACAAAGTTTTTTGAAATATCTTAAAAACTATTTTGACCACGGAAATGAAACCCCTTAAAATTGATCATATCGGCTTCTTTAGAAAATGTCACAATTTACGATGTAAACCATTCTTGACCATAACTATTGCACAATGGAGACATTTGGCTATTAAATATCGAAGACATAGTTAGCATAACTATGTGCTACAGCCTCAGTTTGAACTTTTACTGCATATCTAGCACGTAAAAGCATTGCTACTGTCTAAATCTGAAAATCCAGAGGAAGCCATGTAGGATCATGTAGTACTGATCATTTGTGTTCAAACAAAAGGTATAAGATGAATTACCATTTATCATTTGTTTAACCTGTGTTATAAATATGAGCTGATTGTTAAGTTGTCTAAAGTATTTTAAAAAACAAATATTTTATTTTTTAAATTTAAAGACTGCAGAGCAAATAGATATGAGCTTCTGCTGGAGACATAATACCATAAAACTTAACAGACGCAGCTGTGCTTCTTCAAACGTCTGCACAACTAAAATGACAGATAGTGGAAACCATTTATGATAAACAAAGTCTTCTAAAAGATCAGTTCACTAGAAGCTGATGGCTGGAGACAGAAGGAGGACATGACAATGTTGGAGGTCAGTGGCCAGGGTTCATGGGATGCATCATGTCAGAACTCAGCTGGTTCCCGCAAGGCCAGTGCTCTACTGTCTACTGCATACTCTTGACGAGATTCTCAGAGTGCTGAACTGCACAAACACAATACACATGCACACATTTGCTCACAAACACATGCACACACATGCACAAACTCTACACTAGTCACAATGCCCTGAGGGGCCATCCAGTTGTGCCTTGTGACACGTAGCAAAAACCCAGACCCTGAGAATTAACTGGGAAGTGCCTGTGCATGTTTGTACTTAATTTGTTCCTCTAACACCGTGATGTCTAAGTTCCATTTGTTGAAAAACAGTGTTTCATTGTTCCATGCAAAATGTCACTTTATGAATAATTATGATAATGAAACCCTAAAAACATACTTCCACTTTTTTTTTTTTTCAGGTTTAAGTCTTTAAAATGTGGAACAGAGATAAAACACACACGCTGCTCTCCTCAAAAACCTTATTGACGACCATTAACGAGTAAAGTGCTGCTGATATCAGGCTGTTGATAGTGTTCTCATGACTGAAGCACCATTTTGTCTCATGAGAAACATTTACTCAACTTATATAAACAGGTTTATTCTTTTACATAAACCACAAGGACCTCCTGCTGAAAACTAATGAGTCCAGCATGACAGTCAATGGCAATGTAATTGGGATCAGATCTGGTCCTTTCAGCTTGATTTATATCTATTAGTTCCTGTACTTTGCCTCGTTCTACATTAAATTCTTTTTTTTTTCTTTTTTTTTTATAGAAGAAACTGTAACATTATACTCACTTTCACTGCTCATTACATGACAGAAAGACTCCTTCCATTTCTCCACCTCAGCAGTGTTAGGGACTCTGAAAGATGACAAATATGTCATATGTCATATGTATATACATATTTGGTAGCGGAAAACACATATGTACAAAAAAAATATTCAGACGCAAATGTGATTTTTATTGGTACATATTTATTTGGGTTTATCTTGAGATCCCACTGTTTTGTTTTGTTTCAGACTTGTTTTATCTCGCATGCAAATTCTTAATTTCTATTGCCACCATCTCACCAACGGTTTTAATATGATTGTGATTAGGACAAATCATTTATTTTCAATATTGCATAGAGAAATATGCTTTTTTTTGTCCTCGAGTATTTTTAGATTATTGAGTGTATTATTCAGAATTCAGTGTTGACAACAGCAACAATAACATCTGACCTTTCTATCATGGAAACTTACACCTCCACAAAAATCTCTCTGTATCGGCAAAAACAAAAGTCATAAGAATAATAATAGCTATGTCCAGAGGGGGAAAAGCATAGTTTGTATTCATATAAATGACTCCATGAACTAAATATTGATTATTTATCACTGTTAATGGATTGGTTATGTGTTACTGGAAAGGAAAGGTGAGCACCATCACCTTCTCAAAGAGGACAATGACAAGCTTCCCATGAAAATTACACCTGCAGGCATATCAGGGTCAAAACAAGATCTGTTGTTCCATGTGTTGTTGACGTTAAATTTAACTCTTCAGTCAAAACACCAGTAATCATAAAAAAGAAATGATTATTTTGGTCCAAACAGCTGCAAACGACTAAGTACACTAAATGAATATAAAGAACCTCGGTCATATGAGCTCTGATTGTCTAATAAAGTGAAATGACATTCTGGTTGAGCACATCTTTGCAAGTCCTCTTGTAACATAAATCAACACATCAATCAATCAATTCTCTTTATCGCTTCCAAAATTACAAAATAAAAGGCACTCTCACCACTGAAAAGAATCCTCAGTTCCAATTGTTTATTGAAAGAGGCAAAAAACATCTTGTGGGATAAGAAAGCATTGAAAGCACTTTACAGGTAATTTTGTTCATCAACAAATATTTTATGATTGTGTTCAAACAACATCAAACTGAAATACAATAGAACAAACAAAGACATGTTTATCCACAATACTCTCTCCTACATGAATATTTGTGTTGTTCTTAATGCAACAGGTTAATTAAAATGAGCATTAGGATTTATTTTTATCTTCTGGAAAAAGAACATGTTAAACTTTGGGACAAATCAAATTTAACAGAAAAAGAAAACAAAACCATCTGAATTTTTCTGACCTTTTTTTATCAGCCGTTGAAGTTTTCTCCTTTATCTCCTTCTGATCTGCGGCTTGAGGTTCAGGCTTCTGTAGTAAGAAGCTTATTTTGTGCTTGATGTCTTTAGCACTGCGGAAACATGCATTTAAAAGATTTCAGTTTGTGTGCATTAAAAAAAAACATCAAAAGAATGGCTTAGAAGTATAGAAGTGTTGAAGAGCTCTTATATTTAATTGATAAATATAATATACAAACTGGTTTCAAAAAGTAGTATTCTGTTTCCAAAAAAATATACAGTTAAAGAAAAAGACAGTATTTGATTTGATTTCCTTAAGCATAACAACTTATTATTTTAATTACACTAATCTTACCTTTTCAAGCAGGTGGCAGGGAGTGTTGCAAGTCCTTTACACATGATGAAACTCTTAAAATTCAAAAGTCACAACTTGTTTTTTCTCAATTACAGAAGAGAGGCAACTGAGTAATTGTGACCAGCAGAGTTTTTATAGCGTTGTCTTTCAGCATTAGAAAGCTAGCTGAACGTATCTCCTCCTCCCCCAGCAGTGATTTATACCGGCAGAAAGCGTTGAGAGAAAAGCAGCCAATCACAACAGATGGAGAGAGGAAGAGAGAGGCGGAGAACTAGAAGCAGAGAGAGGGAGGAAAAAAAGGGGAGAAGACACAATAGAACCTGAAAACAGATGGGATTCAAATCAGCCTGAACAAAAGGTAATTTCTTCCTATTGAGGTCATTGGGGTGTTTGAGGAACTTGTGAAGGAGTTCATATGAAGGAGAAAGAAAAAAAAAGTATTTATCTCCTTCATAAATCTAACCTAGGTTTTTACAGTGACATATGCTTGTGCTCTTTTTTTATTGCACTTAACAAGCTGTTTTTGCAAAACCGTTGTCATTTGTTTTCATTGACAGAAGGATAAATTCCTTCAATAACATTGAAGGAATGTTATTGAACATTCCTTCAATGTTCAATAATATTGAGCATTGGCTGGATTAGTCAGAGTAATCCATTCAAAATAGCATGTTAACTTACAACATTTGGTGTCTTTTTTAATAATATCCTCCCATTTCAAATGGCACTTATAAAGTGTTGTTGAACAATATTAGATGTGTTTAAAATCGCTTCCATTATCGGGTATCTCATTTATATATTTACTATGAGTTTCCACTCAGATTTGAGTTTTTATTAATTCTCTTTATTGTTTAAAATGATCCACAGTAAACAGCTTAATTGTCTGTGTTCATTAGTTTTAGGGATGTTTGGCAATGTGTTCTTTTGTGTTTAGTTTCTTGCTTTTTTGTGTATTTGTGTCGTTCCCTGAAAGTCTTTTGTGGCTTACCTGAACGACAAACAGTTCAGGTAAGCCACAAACCACCTGGTTGTCAATAATCTATTTACAAAATCATGAGTCTAACAGATGTTTGGAGAATTTGAGAATTATTTTGTATTTATTTTGCTAAGTGGGCCAGTCGCTCAGACAACTGAACAAATATCCTCCAAAGATCGCAAGAGGCTTCTTGTAGACATGCTTTAATTAAGCTCTATTTTTTAAAAATACAATTCCTTTGGTTATTCTGGAAGAAAGAAAATAATCTCATTGACATTTTTTCTCCAAACACACCATAGCTGTCTGTTGGAAGGCAAATGTGCTTCCTACACATCAATTACTTTAATGACAAAGTAATTAAAGTGGTAATATGTATTTTCCAGGAACACTGCAACACTGTATTGCTTCCCTTCAGTTGTTTTAAAAATGCTGTAAATATCAAACGTAACTAAAAAACAAAAAGAACTCAGCAATTTGATATCTTGAAATTGGGCCTCTGTCTCTTTAAAACGTTCCTGCACAGCAGCAGATCATCGCAACAACGTTTCTCTGTTAAGCCACTTAGAAACATTCTTCAGAGTATTGAACTGAAAAATACATAAAATGCTCCATAGAACTGGAGTTCCACTAGGTTGGCTAATTGCTAGTTTTGAGGAACTGAGGGTTTTGCTAACAGCTCCTGTCTCCGCAAGACAGGAGCTTGGACATTTGGGTATTGCACCTCCAGGGAGGAATTGCATGGAAGGCGCCTATTGGTGAGATTAAGTGTTTTATAATACATTTGTCTTCATTCTTTGTGACAAATATGTGCCTTACTGTCACGTGTACCTTCAAAAAAAAATGTTTTCTTAAGTTTGACTTCCATGAAAGTCAAATTTGTCAAAATCTTTTTTCTGATTATAGAACCATGTACATTGAAATTAGTAGAACCCCTAAGTTATATAGCACTATTTCAGCTACTTAATTTGGCATCATTCCCTAGACAGAGTACAATTACTCTGTCTAGTTTTTGTCACTCTATCCCAATTACCTGATAATGGAAATCAAGGACGTAAATCCCACCTCACTGTTGGGGGGGACCATAAACAGGAACATTTCTTAAGAGCAATTTTGTTGGGGGTCATCGAAGTTACAGTGAAATGTAACGTAAGATATGGTTTAACAAGTTTTCAAACCACATTCAAGCTGCAGGACCAAAAATTACTAGTGGCGCACACAAACAAACTGTTGGTAAAACTAAAATAAAACGAAAATTCAAATGTTGCTTCTATGTGAATTTTGTTCAGTCTGACTGATCTAACCTCTGCTACATCTTTACAAGAATTTAAGGTCCTAAATAAAAAAGCTTAACTGCTCTTGATAAAATTCCTCATAAACAATGATTGATTGAAATGGCTCCCAATACAGGTTATGGGCTTTCTAAATTATAACTAGTTAAGTTGCTTTATTTTTAAGCCTTTTTTAGTTTTGCCATGTCCTGGATGACTGAGAACCAACAAGTAGATAGAAATTAATATCTCGGGGGTATTAATTTCTACGCTGGAATTTAATAATAGCCACAGAGAAATAAAATAGCTATCATAATTTAAACATAACACTTAAAGCACCAGGGATTATATAAAAAAAATTATTTTGTGGTTTTAAAGGCTCTACATTGGAGACAGTGAGAAATAAAGCCATATCTTTCTGTTTCTTCTATTAGTTCTCTTCTGTTCTCGGCTCCCAAACACAGAGATGTCTGCCCTTCCTCAGCCCCCATTGTGTTTACACCTATGATGGAAATAAGAAATGAAGCTTGTATGGACATAAATGGCAGAAGGCTTTTTTGTACTGCCACCTTGGACAGAGATTCTTATCACCCATGAAGCTCACTAAAAGCATGTTCTCAATTTTTCTTCCTTATTTGGTCTTTCTGATCATCTCTCTAACATTGTTCTGTTACAATGTGCAACATATCACCAGCTTTAGAGCAAGTCTACAAAACAGTTTTTGCTTTTTCAATCCTTTCAAGGTTTAGATGAATTGTGTGTGTTTTTGTATGAGACAGTCTACAACCCACTTTGTCTTTTTCACAGTCTTTTGGTTAGACATTCAAAATATATGTGCAGGGCCCACATAATGGAGGTTTGCTTAGTTTCTACCAGAACAGAGCTGCTTATAAATTCTGTCTCGTAGCCCCCTGCAGCTGACCAGCACTGATCCAGACAGCAGGATGTAATTAGAGCCCCAGATGCCAGCCAGTCGCAGCAGGCAAAGACGATGTTGCCTCTGTGTGGTTCTGGTTTTTACAAAGTCACACATAATCATTCAGGTGTAACAGGAAAGTAATTGGAAAAACATCCAATTTGAGAAGAAAAACTATTCTAATTTTAATAATCAAAAAATGGAAATGAACCATTAGTAATCATAATCTTCCAGATTATACAATTTGCAAAAAGTCATATTCATATTTGTCTCAGGATTGGCATTCAGTTTTGATGGATTAGCATTGTATAACAGAACAATTATAAAAGATCATTTTGAACTTGAACAGGACTTTAAGTTTTCTTTGTCAATAATTTTTAGATGTAAAATAAATACTAAATAAATAACTTGGTTTGGTAAAGTATGGGTTTGATACTTAGAGAAAACACCCAATTCCAAAAAGTATGTATTTGAAATAAGTTGTTTGTTTGATGGTCTCCAATTGCTCATCCTTGCAGGTTATCTGGTGCTTATCTGGTGCATTTGTCTGGCGGTCAATGAGGACAGGGTAAACCCTTGAAAGGTTAATTCTATTATCTTTTCACTGTAACGCAGTCATATTTCTGGACTTTGGGAGAAAACCAGAGAGAACCCATGCATGTATATGGAGAACAATTCAATGCAGAAAGGCTCCAGGTTGAGACTCAAACACAGCTGCAAGACAATAATGCTTCTAACTCACAGGTGTCAAACTCCAGTCCTCGAAGGCCTCTGTCCTGCAGTTTTTAGATGTGCCACACTACAAAACGCTGGAATAAAATGGCTGAATTACCTCCTCCTTGTGTAGATCAGTTCTCCAGAGCCTTGCTAATGACCTAATAATTCTATTCAGGTATGATGCAGCAAAGCCACATCTAAAAGTTGCAGGACACCAGTTCAGTTGTGCATTGTGTTTTCATGATTCCCCAATACTCGAAAGTGTGACTGAAGAAATTTGCAGTAGGTTGTGTATCCAAACAGTATTTCTGTTGAACTGTTCTGGGATTTGATATATTGAGCAAAACAAATTTAACTTAATTAACTGCACAATGACAATTTTGGGTGATAGTTAGGTATCAGTTTGTACAGTTTGTTTAATGTATGGAGCCTGCAGGGTTTCATTTCATCTAGTATTACATTAAATCACACCAAAGGTCAAAGGCAATCATTATAACTTCACTCACTGGTCATAGATTGTCATAAACAACATCAAATGACAAGGGATGGCTTTGGTAAATTCGCTCTGTCTCAATAAATTATCTTTTGCACGCATCTCTTCAATTCAAATGCCCCTCCATGATGCCATGACAGAGTTCTCTTGTAAATTACACTATTGTCATCAGTTTTGCAGAGAATGGGTATGAAAGAATGATAGTGAAGAACAGACAAACACTGAGAATTAATGAGTAAATGAAAGAAACACAACTACAAGTTCCAGTGTAATGTAAAAATTTCAGCTTAGATATATTGAATTTTACAAAACTGATTAGGAAAAAAGTTTTTTTTTTTTTTTTTTACGTTTAGAGAATGATCATACTCTTAAAAGTAGGATCATTTATTTCTTTCTTATCACTTCTTTCACTAGTCTGGTTTCCAGCCTGGACATTGCTGCCTTATGCATTCCTGCTTGAGAGACAATCTGGAGATGTCAGCAGTGGACTACCACTCAGTGGATCCTGGCCTGCCCCACTAACTACCCACAGGAAATGAGGACACATGACTGTGTTTCAGACAAGCTGATCTGAAGTACAGGGGCCTTGAAGGTAATTATGCTTGCACTGTTCCTTTTTAGCTTCTACAGTGTGTCCATCAGGTCCCCAGTTAGCTATCTTCAGAAGTTTTCTAAACATTCTGCCATAGTCTGTCTCATCACAAGTGTTGCTGTTACGCTGACATTTCTGCACTGCGTAACAATTGTATTTCCTCTTCTATAATATTACACATGGCAGTATGAATCCTAAGAGCTGGTGCCACCAGACAATATTTCAGTTATTTCATACAATGATATTTTCTTTACCGACTGAACAGTATGAGATTATGCTACTGCAATAAAGGATGACTGTAGTTTGGCTTTTTACACACAGTTTTAGCAAAGGAAGCAATAAATGTTGAGAGAACTGTACATCCTCCTACCTATGACACATGAAAGATGCGTCAGAGCATGATGCACTTTATTATCCTCTTTCATAATACATCCATCCTGACATCACAGAATTATACGTCTTCCTATTTTACAAATTTAAATGGAAGTAAAAAGAATGAAATGGCCACAGGATAATTATTTGTTGTTGTCTTTGTCTGAACTGTCAGATGAAACAAGTTGGAACTAAAATTTTCACACTGTTGAAAA